CTCGCGCAGCGCGCGGTTGTCGAAGCGCAGCCCCGCCAGCCAGCGCGGCGCCGACTCCATGGCCGAGGCCGAGGCCGAGCAGGGCGCGCGGCGGCGGCGGCCAAGGGGCAGCGACACCGTACGGGTGGCCGCGAGAGAAGACCCGAGCGCAGCTCTGAGCGCCGCCATTCGCGGCGCCTCTGCCCGGAAGTCCCGCCCTCCCGGCCGAAGCACGACCCGAGCCAATCGCAGGAGGGGCGGTGCCGCAGCCACGCCCACCGACTCTGGGTCCTTATTGGCTGCGCGGTCTGTCTGTTCCCTGGCTTTGCGGCCCGTCTGACTTGCACTAGTGGAGGTCCAGACTCTGATGCAGTCACAAGCAGCCAGGGGCTGATGGGGACAGTGGGGCCACTGTTGAGGGTGACCATTACGGGGGCAGCCACAAGCGACAGCCTGACAGTGACTAGTCTGTGCGTGACCTCTAGGAGAGGGTGGTGTGCTCAGCGGTGTCCCCAAAGTTCCACGAGGGAGCTTGGACTCAAGGAGTGAGCCATGGTCAGCAGACAGGAAGGAGGATGTGCTGCGAGTCCGCCCTACAGTCCAGGGACAGATGAGGCTAGCTGGGTCCAAGGTCTGGTGGTGTCCTTGGTGGTCACAGGGTCCTTAGGGGGCATGTCACTCGGTCACATCCCACTCTTGAACCTAGGTCGGACTGGGGAGCCCCTTAGCTCATGAGTGTCTGCTCTGCGGTCCACAGGCCACCTCAGAGGTCCAGCCCAGGACACATGTGATAGTTTTAACTATCCAGCAAGCCAGCGTAGGGCAGCGTCCTCTTCATTCGAGAAGGCATCCCACAAACAGTGGGTGTATGGTCCTCCTCCTTTATCCATTCCCAGGGACCATAGTTATCAGCCTGCTTCCTCATCTGTGAGCCAGTCTGGCTGTGGCCATATGATAGTGACCAGGGTGTGAGGGCGGGACACACCGACCCTGCCCTGACCTGTAAGAAGGGCTCAAGGGCATCACAGCTTGAACTTTTAAAAAGTCAGATGTCAGATGTGCGGCCCCTGGAGGGAATGTTAGAACAGGGAGGTTGTGCATATGCACAGCACGGTGTAGTGCAGGGTCTGAGGTCTGGACCCTGGAAACCAGTGCAGGCACATTGGGTCCCTTTTGTGCTGTGGCCTCAGCCCGTCAAGGTCAGCCTGGGTACAGTTGCTGTACCACCAACCAGTACCCATGAGCTCAAGGCTGCACCTGAGGATGGTGCGGCCACAGTCCAGGTAGGGTGTGCAGGCATGGGGATAGGAGTCCTGCCCTCCTTGTCACCAGTCTCCATCCCCTTACGCGCAGGTGCCATGGGTAGCTTGGCTCACTGACCACTGATGCCCTTCACCATCGGGCTTCGGGTTGGTAAGACCATGGGAAGCCCTTGGAACCTTTCAACAGAGCCAGAGGTCGCTTGGAGGGGGGCAGCAGCTCTAATGTCCTGGGGCACCTGGGCAAAGGAAGCTCTGTCACCATGCCATGACACAAGGCACCTGGTGTTTGTGGGCTGGTATGGCCGCAGTAGGAGTGTCTTACCAAGTCACCCTGATCCAGCCTTCTCTGTCCACAGATTACAGGCTGTGCCCCTCTAAATGCTCATTTATTTACTTAAAAAATTCAGTCCACAGGGAGTTCTGATGGCCTAGTGGCAAGAAGCTGTGCTGCAATCCCTAAGGTACGCGGTTCGAACCCACCAGATGCTGGAGGTGGGGGGGGGTATTAAATCCTGGTGGTTTTTCTAGGTGTGAGTGCCAAGTAGCACTAGGAAATCTCAACACTAGGCTCCTAGGAGCCCCGCCCTGCTGTTCCCCACCAGGCTCTGGGCTAGTAGCCCTGGACACATGGCCAGCACATCAAGTCCCTCAGTGACATGCACTTAGGTGATCCGTGAGCTCTGTGGACCTGAGCACGGAATGTGAGTCTGACTCTAGGACACAGGTGATTTAGTCACCCCAAGTGCTGCTCTGGGCTTCCTCCATGAAGAGTGTTATGTAGACCCTGGTCTGAGGTGATCACTCAGCACGGCATGCTGCCTCCCATGGGCTGGATGACATACACATGGGTGGACACTCCCAGGCTGTCCATCAAGATCTGAGAGTAGCCCCTCCCTGCAGGGATAGGGAGCCCACCCACATGCCCTCAGGTTCTGGGGCAAATGGAACCCCCACCTCAAAGGACACATCTCCACAACTCAGTAGGCAGGCAACTCCAGGACCCAGCCCAGCAGGTGGGCCAGCCCTGTCTGTCCTCAGCAGTATAGGCCTCTTTCTCACCCCTAGACCTTCCTCCTGGAGTCCACCAGCATGGTGCTGCCTCCATCTTCCACCTTTCAGCTCTAGACAGTGCTTCCTGCCAGCAGTCCAGCAGGAGTCTGGGGGTCTCTACCAGCCTTGGGGCTGCCCCTCCCAATACTCAGGCAGGCAGCAGGACTTGATCACCTAGCCTTTGTCCCTCCTCCCCAGGTGATGCTGAGGTGCAGCTGACTTTCATAGGGCTCAGTGACCCTAGAACTTTAAAGGACAGGACAGGTTGGTTCCTCTCCCTGCCCTCTATCCACCTTGGGGCTGCAGTGTCACAACTGTGATCTGCAGAGACAGAGGCAGTCAGGGAGGTGGGCCCTCACCAATGTGTGATGGGGCACCAGGGCTAGGCCTGTGGCAGAGATGTAGAACAGGAAGGCAGCAGGACACAGGAGGCCAGGCTTCCTGAAGGTGTGGACATGGCAGTGTCCTCCAGCTGTCAGCCGAGCTGGCTTCCCCTCTGCCCCTCCCACAGGTGTATGCTAAGGCAGTCAGAGGCTTGGCATGGGTTGCCCTGAGGTCTGGCAGAGTGGACTGGTGGTCATGTGTGCCCAGGGAGGTCAGCCCTTTGTGATTTAAGTGCCATTTCTAACATATTTCACCAGGCAAGTTTTCCAAAAGTAGACTTTAATTTTGCAATGAAAGTGCATACTGTGTATGAATGACGTGGGGGAATGGCTGGGGCAAGACCCCCCCTATATCCCCCAGACTTGATTTGGTTCAACAATGAATCAACAGTTCCCTCATGGCCTGCCCTCTAGCTGCCCATGGATGCTTCATGAACAAGATCCCAGGAGAGACAAGGCTGGTGCTGTGACCCCAGACACCCCCAGGGTCAGCTGCCTGCAGTAGGCACCCAGCAAGCTCACCCCTCATGCTCCGCCAAGCCCAGCACTGAGCAGCCCTGTGGAGGGACCGCTGGCTAGCCCCACAGGACCCAAACAAGACTCCCTCACTGTCCCAACCAGATTTAAGGCTCACGTTTCCAACATCTGCTTTCCTGTTTTGTCTATGTTAAAATTACCTGAGCAAGAAATTGTCATTTTAAAAAGCCAAGGCCATGGGCACTATCGGCAGATGTGCCATCAGGGCCACTGCTGGCCAAGTTGGTTGGCGCGGGGTGGCGCCTCTCAGCCTGCCCTTCCCAAACGTGCCTGGCCTGGAACCCTGGAGGGAACCCTGCAAACCAGGCCCTGCTGGTGGTTCAGAGCCCCCAAGGCTGAGTACCACCAGAAGGCACAGTGAGGTGGGGGCCAGCGGCAGCCCAAATGCCCTGTGGCTTCAGAGCTAGAAGCTGGGGCAGCGCCACAGCTGGGCCTTGTCACCCCCCCCTCCACCCCATGCCCTGAGCATGGCCTCCTGTGTGCAGGGCTGCAGGGAGCCTGGGCTCGGAACCCCTCTGTCAAAAGGGCTGGGACTGGTGAGGCCTCAGTGATGGGAAAGGCAGGTCAGCCTGGGCCAGGCCCTGCAGGTAACAAGAGGCTGGCTGCCCAGTGCCATTCAGGGGCTGGCACCCACCACACCTGGGTAGTGGGCACTCGTAGCACTCGGTGGGGCCGGCCAGCCGCCCCCTACTTCATGGATAACATGGTGGACACTCTCTGAAGACAGTTCTGAGCCCCAGGCAGTGTGAGGGCCAGGCTTGCTGTGCGGCGGCCCAGCCAGTAGAGGCTGTAGCCCACCAGGCCGAAGAAAGTCGCTTTGACCACCACCCGGGCCACTCGGCTGGAGAAGGAGGGTGGCGGCACGCTGAAGAGGGGGACAGGCAGCTGTAGGTGTTGCTCCCTCAGCCAGGCCCCTGTGGGGGTCTGCCCTGCCTAGCACCACCTCCCCGAGGTCAGCCCTCTCCCAGGCTCCCTCTCCTCCCCTGCCCCAGCCCTGCCCCACTCACGTCATGATCTCTTGGATATTAAGCTCCGTGCTCCAGTTCTTCTCGATGCCAGGCACATGGCCCATGCCCACTACACCCACGACCACTGATGGGACGCACTTCCTGGGCTCAGCTATGGGGAAGGGAAAGGTCACAGCCAGGGCCCCTGCTCTGAACCCATGACCCCACCACAAAAGGCGTGGCATCTGCAGACACTGCCCTCTCCCTTTCCTGTTCCATGCCCCTTACCCCAAATCCTACCCCAACCTCTTACACTGAGCCCCACTCCTCACTCTGAGGCCCCGCCTCCCACACTGAAACCCACCCCTGAGGGCCCGCCTCCTACACACTGAACCCCGCCTCTCTCCCTGAG